GATTAGCTGCATCAAGTGAGGCAATGATTCAAGATGTAATCCCTTAAAAGCGAGTTGAGGGGGGAGGAGAGGGGGGGGGAGCTCATCAGAATGTGGTAGCCAATAAATGGAACGTATCGGGAGGGAGGGGGGCGGGGCCAAAAGGGTGGGCGACGGCGTGGAAGCGATTGTGCGCAAGAGACAAACTGCTGCACACGCCAACGCATTGGACAGAGAGGGGGAGGGGGAGGCCTGATACACATGATACAAAAAAACGGAAATGCCATTGTTTATACCAATGCTGGCTGAACAATGAAGAGATTACTGTTAAACACTCAGTGAAGTAAAGTAAAATAGTGCCTGTCAGATAAGATGGTCCAAAAAAGTGTAATTAATTACATTTTTTGGACCATCTTATCTGACAGGCACTATTTTACTTTACTCTACCGAGTGTTTAACAGTAATCTCTTCATTGTTCAGCCAGCATTGGTATAAACAATGGCATTTCCGTTCTTTTGTATCATGTGTATCAGGCCTCCCCCTCCCCCCTCTCTGTCCAATGCGTTGGCGTGTGCAGCAGTTTGTCTCTTGAGCACAATCGCTTCCACGCCGTCGCCCACCCTTTTGGCCCCGCCCCCCTCCCTCCCGATACGTTCCATTCATTGGCTACCACATTCTGATGAGCTCCCCCCCCCTCTCCTCCCCCCTCAACTCGCTTTTAAGGGATTACATCTTGAATCATTGCCTCACTTGATGCAGCTAATCTGGCTGTGACGGTCCCACCTGATGACGGAGACTTGTGTTGCCTCCGAAACGTCGTGATCTTTATTTTATTTTTTATTAATTTTGATGTTTTACCTACGTGACTTTACCGAAAAAACCTAAGAATATGAATCCTTGCAGTCACGAAAGCTTCAAATCTAGAATGACTGAGATGGCTGGCTGATGCACCACCTGTGCCCCCTACTATGTCAACTTGCTGTGCTTTAGCCACCTGGCGCTCCACTCGTGAGCGTCGCTCCTCCACCCTCTGTTGTTGTTGGAGGGCAACTGCCTCCAACTACCCAGTAGCTTCCTTCACGAGCCTCCTACAAAGGCCGATCTTGACACCGCTGGTACCAGTCATCGGCAAGCGAACAGCGCCGATGAACGCCGGCACGGCACACGAGAGGGTGGATGGCAAGCGCCACGCCCGGCCGCCTTTGTCTCCTCAGTGGCGATGTTTACTACACATCGCACTAGGTTACCATTTGAGTCGACCTAGAGGAGGCCCAGGTCCCGTTCAAATAATCGTCACTGGTGTTGATCGGGGGGGGGGGGGGGGGGCAGACATTTCTGACGATATCTGACGATGGGGGGTGGGGGGGTGTGAGAAATGTGACGTCACATCAAAATGCGCAACTTTAAATAAATATAGACAACACGTTCTATTTAAATCAAATATACTTTTTTATATAAATGTTTTCTCCTACAACATCAGAGTGCAGCGCCACATTAAACAGTCCCTCCAGAAAAACGCGGAGTTTTTTGGTGATTGTTGCGGGCAAAAATCGTTGATTATGCGGCACGTTTTCTTAAAAAATGCGATGGAATATGCGGGATATTTATGCAATTTTATGCGATTAAATTGCGGGAACTTGCAAAAATTGCGGGAACTTGCAAAAACTGCGGTTTGATGAAAAAGAGAAGAAAAAGAGAAAAAAAAGTGATTCCCCCAACACCCTATTCACTAGGCTACTACTTTAATGTAAAGAGTCATTTCTTATTACTTCCTATGATAAGCAAGCATACTACATCACAGAAAGTGCTGGGAATATTTAAGTTCTCATCTTGTTTTATTTCAGACCTTAACAAACAGATGGCTCAAACTTACAAAACATTGAGTCGAACAAGTTATGTAGCTTTACAAAATGAATATGCTACAACTTCTGTAAAAATTTATAAATAAAATATTAAAAAATAAAATGTGTGCTTCCTGTTTTACAGAGGTAGCTATACAAAACAGACATCTTCTGTTAAAATAAGTGTTTTCAGTGCACAGTAACGTAAGCAATACAGTAACAGTACAGTCTTACAGTAATGTAAATTTACATACTACTAACAAAAAAGTGCAATCTTACAACTGTAAAGTTGCATAAACTCCTGAATAAAACTAACTGCGTAGCCTCTAACACTTCATGACGTTCCCATGGCAACAGGGGAAATGGCTGCGCTTGTGTGAAGTAAACGCAACATTTTTCAACTTTCTGCTAAGATATATGCGACTTTTTGCAACGAAAATGCGGGGATTATGAAATCATGCAAGCCCGCATATTTTGCGCGCGGAAATCTGCAATTTATGCGGCGAAAGTGCGGCGTATTTGAAAAAACGCGCCCCCCGCATAAATATGCGGACTTTGGCTGATTTTGCGTGGAATCTTGCGATCGCATAATCGCGTTTTTCTGGAGGGACTGATTAAATACGCACTACAATGACAATAGATTAAAGCGGTTTGAAGCATGTTTTTTTTTTGGGGGGGGGGGGGGGCAGAGCTTTGTGACGTCATATTTGAGGGGGGTCTCACTTTTTGTGACGCCGTGTGACGAAGGGGGGGGGGCAACAATCGTCCAAAATCGCGTGACGTCATTTATGGACGGCCTCCAAGTCAAATACTCCCGTATAGCCTTAACAGTCTGTGGTAGCAAGTGCTGTTAGCGAGTAGCACTTATAAAGGCCGGTACGGCACACGAGGGGGGGGTGGGTGGCCAACACCACGCCCGGCCGCCTTTGTCTCCCCAGTGGTGATGTTTACACACCGCACCAGGTACTGGCGTTGACCGTGAGAAAGAATCGAACTCGAGTCGCCGCTTCCGTAGCGCAGCGCAGCGCTAACCGCGACACTACCACTCCCCACACAAAGATCCCCCGTGTAGCCTTGACATGCTGTTGGGGCAAGTGCTGTCAGCGAGCTCCCCACGCACTCACACTTCTTTCACACACACGGCACGTGCACGCTCCCAGCGTAAGGCCAACTCGTTGCATCTCGCGGAGGATCGCTCCTCTGACAAATAGTTCCGCGGTTTAGGGGCCGTCCATAAATGACGTCACGCACCTAGAGGTGGAGGGGGGGGTCAGACATTTGTGACGATATGTGACGGGGGGGGGGGGGTGAGAAATGTGACGTCACATCAAAATGCGCAACTTTAAATAAATATAGACAACACGTTCGACTTATTTAAATAGACGTTTTAATCAATGTTTTCTCCTACAACATCAGAGTGCAGCACCACATTAAATACGCACTACAATGACAATAGTTTAAAGCGATTTGATGCATGCTTTATATTTTTTTTTGGGGGGGGGGCAGAGCTTTCTGACGTCAAATTTGAGGGGGGGGGTCTGACTTTTTGTGACGCCGTGTGACGAAGGGGGGGGGGGGGAGGTCAAAAATCGTCCAAAATCGCGTGACGTCATTTATGGACGGTCCCTTAGTTTGCAATTGCGAGTTCGCGTTTTAAGTCAATGTTCATTTGCATTTCATAGGAGGCTGGATCGTAAGTACGGGCGTTCCTAAGTCGAGGATGGCCTGTACATGCATAATCATTTGTGTTCATTGTCGCTGGCATCTTCATGTGAGTGTGGGCCTCAATTATGCCGCTTTCCTAAACGTTTAGAACACTTAAAAAGGCACTGGAATGTTTACTCAAAAACACAGAACGTGCAGAATAATTTGTGCAAAATGCACTCCGACACACCTTCAGCACTCTCGACACATTATGGTGGAAAGTTTCTACAACTATGTGAAAATGTTCCCAAACCCTGCCCTCGCCCACCCAATGTTTTGTCAATTTGCAATTGTTGCAAGAGAAGTGGTGTAATGGGTGTGATTTTACGTGGACACAACCCACATGCGAGTTACATATTGTGGAATTGTCCGGATTTAATGTCTGAAACGACCGCCTACGCCCCTCCATAAAGTGGTGGAGTGGGGAACGATATTGGCTACAAACTCGACGACCGGATTTTGATTTCCCGATTACGGCCAACACCAGTGACGATTATCTGAACCGGTCCTGGGCCTCCCCTAGGTTGACTCAGCCTCAAATGAGTACCTGGTGCGATGTGTAAACATCGTCATTTGGGAGACAAATGCGGCCGGGCGTGGTGCTGGTCAACCACCTCCTCGTGTGCCGTGCCAGCCTTCATAGGTGCTCGCTAACAGCACTTTCCCAAACAGTCTGTTAGTAATAAACTAAAAATGATGATAGATAACAACATAGAGGACAAGTACATAACTAGAAAGACATGTTTGACTTGCATTTTCACAAAATGTATACTTACATGCAATAATCAAATATGCTCAAAATGTCCCCCCCAATATATTGCTCTAAAAATATTTAAAATAATAATTTCGATGCTATGTAAATAAAAAAAACAATTTGCTAAACCTTGGCCACAATATCTGGACTTTTCATGTAACAATGCATAGATTTCTGTTTATATGATTGTGGTTATGGTTGTACTTTATACTCTGCCATTACACACAATGAAACAAGAAAAGGTAAAAAAAATAAAAAAACAGCAATGTAATACAATACGCTATTAGACATTGTAAAAAATAAATAAAAAGTCCATCCCATGTGTTAGTGAATTTTTTAAATATTTTAGGCAGGAAATGGCAGGAAATTAGTTTTCAAGTTCAGATTTTTTTTCTGGGGGGGACCCCAGACCCCCTGGAAGATTTGGTCCCCCCCCCAATGTTGACTCCATGGCTACGGCCTTGCTTACATGATAGTATGAGACGTATTTATGCTTGAGTTTTAGTCAGGTAGCAGCTGGACCAAAATGGGATTTTAAATTAGATTGAATTGATTTAAAAGATGCCACATGGCTTGATGCCAAACCTCAGAAGACCCAAGTTAACACACACAGTTTATAGAGAGAAACACATAGAATTACATTATTCTTACATTAGCTAATGCTACAACATCTGGTAGACTAACACCTTCCCCATTGTTGTTGTTACTTTGTGCGTGCGCAGGTTCACAGGGTTCCAGCTGCCATCGCCTATCACAAGCACAGGACCACTGCTCACCATGAAGCTGAGCAGCGATTTTGCAGTGGGTGCTCAAGGATTTAAGCTGACCTATCAAGGTGAGCAACGTGCCGACATGCCACACTTGCTTTATTCAGCATGCAGTGTGCTTACAAAATAGTTTTGCAGGCAACATTTCCAGGCTTTTATTTATATCATTATTGATAGTGGCATCACGTCTTCATTGGTTCTTGTTTTGTGTACACTTTACGCACTGGTGCGGCACATTTTAATTGGAACATTGAGCTGACCTTCGCGAGCACATTAGTGACACCATCTGGCACGTTTCTATACCGTTTTGCAGTGCTTACAATCATTAATCTTACATCTTAAATGAAAAGCTTAATACAACACTTGTACTGACATGTTGTAGTTATATGTAGATGTACAATGATAATTACTAAGTACAATACAACTCTTGTTTGCTGTCATGATGTATTTATATGCTTCATAAACAAATTGGAGTGTGAGTGATATAGGTGTAAGTGTTTTGATTAAGTTTTGAACATTTGTTAATTGTGTATATCCTTGGAATGTATATGGACCACTGTTATTATTGACATAAATTATCCGTGCTTTTCAACTACTTTTCAATCCTACTGTGACTATCCATACGTGACGTAAATACAGATCATGCCTTACCTAATGCGGAGGTTTACGTTTTAGAAAAATCCATGAATTCGACAAGTAATAGGACCTTATGGGAAAATATGGTTGCATTCCTGGGTCCGAAATGATCACCCCCCCCCTCCCTCTTTTCTTACAAACTCTACAAGATTTCCGCCCTTATTGTATAATAGGATGCCGAGGCGTTCTCCGTTTCTTGTGAATTTAGACTATTTTTAAATTTCATCTCAATACACAAAAACCCCCGTCTCCTTTACTCTCCCGGCACCGAAGAACTGGTGCCCAATGCACGCCCCTGACACCGAATTGCCAGCACGACACTCACCCCTTACACCTTCACGTGAACGTTAATGATTCGCCATCTCGGTGCCCGTATGACTCACATCCTCAACGAGTAAACAACTAGATGCATGCGGCAATTTGTGAACATATATATGGTAAATAAATCGTTCTCACGGGCGATTCATTCACACCTTCCAACGAATGCAGCACTCTCATGGCACTACTTTTCGATGCAGAAATGAGAATCTTATCAGCGTCAAACTGCGTACAGCTGAAACATCACTCCCGTGTTCCGGGAAACAGACCTTGTGAGGTAAACTGTGTAGAGTCCCAACACGTGCTCAATAAAGCCTTGTAGGGCAAGGATTTTTTGTACATTTAATTTCCTCTTGTATACCAGGTGTAGTACATGTTTTTCAGCCACAATTGTGTGCTTGATAATTGATGAAATCCATTAAATTCCTACGTCTTTTTATACCAACTGTGTTTTTTCTTCTATTATATTTAACCCATCGTTTACAGATTCAAATGTTGCAACGATGCCATGCAATACAATGAAAGCTTACAATGAAGACAATTCAGCGCAGCAGACAACGATTAAATCAAGGAAACATTTTTCCTGATCTGTACATTCCTTTGAATTGGTTCCCAGCATAAACCAGCACCACAAGATTTCCTCCCTATACCAAGGCCCTTCAAATATCGTTTCCAGTGGGACACAATGAAATTAGCATGTGCAGGCAAAGCCACGTGACGTCATGTCACACGTACTTTTCTAAACGGTCAAATGTATGCATTTAACTTGCGTAACTTATCTTTTCCGTTCCTATTTCTGTCTCGTTGTGAACACACGAACTTTTGTTTCAGCCTCCTGGTACAGTCCAATGTTTCAAATCCATATGCCATAGCAGGTAATACCCACTGTTATAAAAGTTTCCCATTCAAAATATTGGTATATTGCATTCAAAGATTCATAGTCAAGTTAATTGGCATAACTTATTTTGCCGAATGGCAGAATTCTATAAATATACGTAAATAAAGGCTATGTGATTTGGGCCCCAATGTATATTATTTTGTTGTATACTGGGTAGTACGCAATGCTTCATTTTTTCCCGTACAGTATTTCAGATTTCCAACAACATGAAAATCATTAAACACGAATAGAAAAAATTACATTCAGGTACCTGCTACATACATATATAATAATAAAACCTGATACATATTTAACGAAAATGATGCATACATTGTGAATTTTCAAATAAGGCTGTCCTGATTTAAATTCACAAATTCTTCAGATGCTTCAATGGTGAAGCAGACTGGACTTAGAGTTTATTGGTTCGTCAATCCCCCAACATGAACGTTGAGACATGGGCAAGCTTGTTAAATCTCGCCCCTCACCACGTCTCTGCACCCAGAAGTAGAAATGGGGAAACCGCAACTCGTCTATTGGCAGTAGAGTAAAACGTTAGTTTAATCCACCTCTTCCAGGATGCCTGGCCGCCATAGAAGAGTAGACCAAATAACCTCCAACGGGGCTCTTTAAAATCTCCCTCTGATGGACGGGGTTTATACCAGTGGTGGCATGTACAGTATGTATGTGTGTATGTTGAACTTCTTTCGCACCGTACGTAGACAACCATGCTAATCGGAGGTGCGCGGGAAGGACAACAAACTAAAAACAAAGCAGTTGTCAAGAAACGAAGTTTTCAAGAAACGAAGTTTTCAATCTATATTTAAAAGTGTATAGCCCCAGTCGCTTACTAATATCGGAAAAGCATTCCAGACGGCCACAGAAGCGCATCCGAAAACACGCGATGTGGTGACCGTCTTTATTTGGTGGCGAGCCAATAGCCGCTGCGAGGGTGACTGGAGTTCGCGTCATGGTTTATGGCATGAGCAAGCCATTGAAGGGCTGCATCTTTTTATAATGTGGCTGAATATAAAAAAAAACATCTTTGGCTGCATTTTGACCTTATTTGTAGGGCTACAATTAGCATTATGGTTTTCAGTGTTCTTATCAGGATCCAAGTTGAAACTCCCTTACTTAGGAGAACCAGAACTAATTGAAGTCATCACCATTAGAGACGCATGAATATGCCATTTCTCATAACTGTGATGAGACAAAGTTAGGAAGCCACTAGAGCTATGCACTTTTAAATCTAGATTGAACATTCATTTTCTTAGAACGGCTTTATGCGTTTAGTTTTTTGTCCTTCCCCGAACCTCCGATTAGCATGGTTGGCTTCGTACGTTTCGAAAGAAGATCAACATACAATATTCAGACAAGCATGCTTAAAGGCAGAATATAGCACTCTAGGACTCTTAAGACAACATGAATATCTTTTATCTTGACTTAAAGCTTTCGTGACTGCAGGAATTAATATTCTTGGGTGTTTCAGTAAATACAGTTTTAAAACGCTTTATATTACTGTACCACAAAACCTTGACCTTGAACTGTTGCATACCAAATATTTAGTAAAATAAAAACCTTACATTGTTGGTATTTAGGGTGTAGGCTTATATTTGCAGACATAAGGTATAATACGAAATAGGGCAATTATGCATTCTCACACATGCTATTTTGTAATACTCTGTGATGCTTTTTTATATTCAATTATGTTAACTTTGTGGAGTTCAATATACTTGTATGCTATCATTTCAAGTTGTATAAATGGCAATAGATTTTTTAAATTCAACTGGACAAATGTATTACGCTAAACTTAATTAAAATCAAGTATTATCACCACATTAACGTGTCCTTGGAATATTCCCTCATATTGTATTTAACACACATTAATTGCATTTAAACATACTTGATGTAATTTTACAAATAACATTATACATTTTCTTCCTGTATTTACATTATTAACCAATTACGTGGTGTTTTTACCATTTCTTAAAAAAAGAATAGGATTGCATTTTTATTTTCTAAATAACGAGGGAAAATATAATCTTACATGTTAAAACCGTGAAATGATGCAAAATCTACAAGGTTGAAATCATATGTAAACAACTAAAATGAATGTTGTTCCTATATCTGAAAAATAAATACATGTAGTTCAAGTAAGAAAATTATTTGATGTGACAGAAAAATAATCATTGAATATTTTCACAGCAAGAATTTTTTTTGGTCATTTTATCATGTAAAACTTCAGGTTACCTTCACTTTATATGCGTTTGGTTTGTGATTTCACGTATATGGGGCTGACCAATGTATACCCAAAATTCGCTCTATGCAGTTTGAATTCATGTATGTGTGGCTATGCGGTCGGGAGTGGGACAAAGTTGTCTGTGTAACACATGCCTTATCCAGCAGGCAAATTTCTTGTGTGGTTTCACTTGGTGCATCCTTTTTTGGAATGCATCTACCACATAAATCGAGGGAAATCGGTTATTTGCTTGGAATCGAAGATACATCTATGAGCTGTAGCACTGGTGTATATAGAAATATAATATATTCCACGAAGAGAAATTACAATGCTGTTGTGGTATATAGTGGGGGTGGAACGGTGGTATGGTAGCAAGCATACTATGCTATGAACCCGTAGAATCTGTGTTCGATTCCTGACCATGGCTTAAATCACTGCCATGTGATCTCTGATATTCTGCCCCCACCCCATTCACCAACCCAGTGTATTCCAATACATTTAAGTTCTGCAGGGAAGGCAGCCTTATCCATACAGTTTTTTTTGGGTTAGATCGCGTAAATATGAGGTTCATTAAACCCACCACCACCCGACAGGGCCAATTAGTAAGGTTTGTCACATAAACGGAACATGCCAATTTGTTACTAGTACAGCACACCGGTGTGTTGGAGCCAAGCCAAACTAACCCAAAACAACTGTATTATAGCTGATATTGGTCGTGAAAGGCTACGTGTTAAATGGAAGCCTTAGATGCATTCATTTGCTTCAAGGGATTATAAATGTAAAAGAAAAACCCCAATTTATTTTAATACGTGCAGTTTTTTTATAGATTTCCAAAGAACTGGTTTCTATTCAGAGTCTTTAAAACCTGCTGTCATATACTGTGAAGGCACCGTCTTGCAGATGCCTTGTCAACGTCAGTGAAGAAGGCAGCTTTCATAGTCATAGCTGAGCCACACGCAGGGGTGCTGCTCAATGTTCCATGTGAAGCGTATTCTCTTGCT